GTGTTTGTTTTTTGTGGTTTTCTGTAAACCAGCCCAAATTACTGGAGGTTCGGCAGCCTATAAAATTACCTAATACCAACAACAATCACAGCAATAATAATGATTCATACTTGAATGGGCATTTGGTATACTGCATTACTGAAACCCACCCAGTTTGGTTTGATCAAGATCCCGTGCATTGTGTGATCCCTCCAGGCTGGGTTAATTCATTGCAAGGTTAAACGCATTGCCTGCAGATATAGTCCGTATACACTTATACAGTATAGGAAGGAAGTATTTAATTTTATTGTCAGAAGGCAGACTTGTTGTCTTTTTCTTTAGCGTAGTTTAATAAGGCTAAGGAATAAGTGATTTTTGTTTGTTTCCTCTCAAAAGGCTAATGAGCAGATTATGCAGCAATAAATGTTGTTTTCATGGTAATAGGATAATTGCCATTGGCGTGCAAGCCAAATGTTCTGAATTTATTGTTTTCTATTGTCTGGTTATTGGAATGGTGAAGCGTCAAACCGGATGACACAATGGACAGTGTTTCTTTTAAAGATTTCCTGATGGATTTTCTGAGGTTTTTAAATTTCTCTTTACTTACATTAATCTCTTTAAGCACCCACTGGTTGCATTAAAGACAAAGCTGTGTTTGCTTTTGACAAGGTGTCAAGTCACTTGGTCTTTTGCTTCAATTTTAGCTATTTTATTAGTTCTGTTGATGGATTTCTTTCACTTTCAGTTTCCACAGAGAAGTAACAGCTAGGTAAAAACAGAAAAACTTTCTCTCCCTCCCTCCTTCCCTTCCTCCCTCCCCCTCTCTTTTTCTCTCTCTCTTTTTCTTTGCATGCAGCTAAAGAAAAGTACAGAATCAGATAATCCCCCTCAAGCTGAATATTCAGTATTCAGATATATAGTTTTAATGATCATTTGGACCATTTGCAGATTTGACTAGATAGCTTGAGAGTTCTTCTTTTGATCATTTCAGCAAAGAATCTATTTGAAATATCTTAAACTGAGGATTTCTAACATGGCCCTTGGGTATTCATTATGCATTTCAACACATAGCTGCAAATACTATTCGGCAAACCCATCCAAATACAGGTGCTCATTTGTTACTAAGAATGTTTTTGTTTTGTTTTTTGCGTGTGTGTGTGTGTGTGTGTGTGTGTGTGTGTGTGTGTCTAATTCTTCTCATAAAGGCTCAAATAAAAAGAGACAATCTGTATTTTGGTTGCTTGAGCTTGATTGTTTGCTTGCAGATATTTCATTACCTGAAGAGGTAACAGCATCAGTGGTGGTGAGTGTAGAGTTTATTCCCCTGTTTACAGTAGTATGATACTGCCGGTGCAACAACTGGTTAGCTAATTGCATGCTCTGATTTATTGTTTTCCCTGTCAGGTAGTTTCTCCTTAATTCCAGGTTGCTTCTCTCCTTCATTAGTTTCCATCCATTGCTTCTTGCCCTGCCTTCAGGTGCTTTGGAGAATAGCTTGGCTCCCTCTTCTTTGTGGCAGCCCCTGAGATATTGGAACACTACTATCCTGTCTCCCTTAGTCCTTTGTTTCATTAGACTAGCCAAGCCCAGTTCCTGCAACTTGTTCTTCGTATGTTTTAGCCTCCAGTCCCCTAATCTTCTTTGTTGCTCTTCTCCGCACTCTTTCTAGAGTCTCAACATTTATTTATTTTTACATTGTGGTGACCAAAACTGGATGTAAGACTCCAAACATGGTCTTACCAAGGCATTATAAAGTGGTACTATATGATGGCAGTATCTCACAAGATCAAATCATATCATATTGGTAGGATTTTAACCAAGAAAGGCATTGAAGTAGATGTCTTTAGTTAATAATGTAGAAATTGTTGATTTAAGGAAACAATAAAAACGTATTTGTCTGTGTGCGTACAGATAAATTTTGTCTTCCTGAAGCATTCTACCTGTTTTCTGGAGCTGAGAAGGACTAGGAAGCTGAAGAAAATGAAGCCCAACTTTTTTCCCTTTGAGAGTAGATTATGTTGCTTTGTGAAGCAGCTTCCAGAAGGAGCTTTGAAAATTAAATATACCTCTCACCATGAGGCCCCGGGAACAAATGCTCCAACAAATCACAGCTTCAAATATTATCAGGATAGTAAAAAACAATGTTATACACTTCTCACCCAGGTTTTCCTAAGGCAAAATCACTAAAGTTACTTCATTAGTTCTCAGAAGGGTACAGAATATCTCATTTTAACCTCCCTTGAAATCCCCTGCACAGCTTGATCTAACAAATTGGAACATAATAAAAACTTTGGTTCTTTACTAACAATCCCAAATTTGTCAATGTTCCCCAAGGAACCCTTTTCTTTCATTTTAATTGTCCAGGAAAACATAGCATTGTATCCTGATTGCACAATACAATCAATATAATTCCACCCTGTACTTCAGTCTAAATAAAACGTTGGTTTCAGATAATCTCTTAATTATATTGTTGTTCATTCGGCACACATGCATTGTGGCTTTTAAATGTCTTTTCAAAGAACACTGTTAAAGTTGTCGAGCTTGACAACTGCTCAGCCTAAACAAAGTCAGAAAGTTTCAGGCTTAGGCATCTTCAGAAATTGCACGGTGGAAGCTGATTGTTTCTCAGTGGTGAGTAAAAGACTACAAGTGTTTTGAATTAATTTCCCCTTGCAGACCTTTTGAGACAACTCACAATGTATGAGCTATACTGGCTTGGATTAAAAGTATACTGAATAATTTGCTGCTGATTTTAAGCCTCTGAGAACAGAACTTTAGGAACTACAAGGGCTGTGGAATATCCTGAGGTATTCAACCTTCTGTATGAAGAGCACACATAAAGTATACATCTAGAGTATACAACTGTTGAACTTCACACTGCTTGTTTGGCAGCAAAGCAAGGCTACATTTCTTTCATCCATAAATTTCTCTTCTATGGACATAGCTACAGCGCTCAGCAGACCAAGGTAGCAGTTTCAAGCCAATCTTATTCTCTTGTGCAAAGTGCAACATAGGTTGATGTAGGTGGGTAGCACATTTAGTATATAGTTCGGATCCACCACAAAGTCCTCTTCTTGTAACATTGGTTTAGAAAAAAAAGATGAACCAGAAAGATCCAACCTGGAAGTGAGGAGACATTTCAGTAATCTTAGATAGCACCTTGGTAGGTACCTGAACGGAAAATGGATGGAAAATAATCAAGGAAAGAAGCAACCTAGAAATGAGGAGAAATTTCTTGACAGTGAGAACAATTATTCAGTAGAATAGCTTCTCTCCAGAAGTTGTGGGTGCTCCATCACTGGAGGTTGTTAAGAGGAGATTGGACAGCCACACATCTGAAATGATATAGGGTCTCCTGTTCATGCAGGGAATTGAACTAGATGACCTCCAAGGTCCCTAATAACTGTTATTCTGTTACCTATAACCCTAATGGCACTGGAAAAAGCAACTTAAAACTGTTTTTCATACTTAACACATTACAGCATCAAAATTTGGACAGAATTGTGTCTTGCTTAGCAACAGAAATTTTGAGTTCAGTTGTAATCACAAGTCAAAGATTGCCTTTACTAGAAGAACTTTCTTTGAGATGCTGAGATTTACTATCAAAATAAGAGTAATGATGCATAATCCGTTTAAACAAATACAGAAGTATCAGGCAACATAGAACCTCCCATTTAATTATCCCCAAATGGTGTAGAAATGAAATACAGTAGGATTATAATAAAAGGAATTCCCTGAATAAAACACATATATCAACAAGTACAGTCCTTCTCTGCCTGTTCAACTATCTGGTAAATGTAGAGTCAACTTACCCAAGTGACGTAGTGTGTTGCTGAAGACGAGAAGATATGACTGGATTAGGGGCTGACTCTTAGGAGATGACTAGGCTGCATCTGAGGGAGGAGTCCCACATGTCCATAGGACAGGGGTCCCCAAACTTGGCAACTTTAAGACTTGTGGACTTATGGCTACTTGTGGCTGGAGAATTCTGGGAGTTGAAGTCCACAAGTCTTAAAGTTGCCAAGTTTGGAGACCTCTGCCATAGAAGATCTAAGGCCAACCCATCTTGAATTCTGTTGACTCTTTTCGACTGCCAATTTGCTTTGACTGTTACTAGTTACAGATTCCTATTGAGGGCTAGCGTGGAATAAACTTGTACTCATAAACCTGACACTGATTGAGTGAAATGTGATGCAATGAAGGCTAGTTCTGAAGGGGGTAAGCTCCGAGCTTGGTTGTTTTCTTGCAGACATTTCATGACCCAAACCAGGTAACATAATCAGTGCATCATCAGTACACTGGTTTGGGTCATGAAAGGTGACCCCCACAGTTCAACCCTGAGCTGCAAATATTCTCCTTTGTTGGCTATCCATTGTGGGTTGCGAATATCCAATTGACTGCTAGATGGGATCAAAACCTTCACCTTTTCTGTAACTGGAATTTGCAGAATTTTCTGCAACTGAAGTTTTTCAGCCTGGATTCATTCAGAGCATTTAGTGTCTATCTGGTTAAAAAGAATTGTGGATTTTGCATGCCTGGGGAGGTGACCGGCTCAAATACAATAGACCAGGGATGTCAAACTTGCAGTCCACAGGCTGGATGTGTCATGCACTGGCCACACCCACACCCGGTTTAGCAAAGGAGAAAAAAGTTGTGATATATAAAGACAATGTGACACTGCGAGTATGACACCCCTGCAATAGATTATTTTCATGTGCATTTAATTTCCATTTTTATATAGTTTTCCATAAAGCAATTTATAGTTGGCTATGAACATAATGAGCTGGAATTGGGTTTGGGCTAACTTCATGTGATGATAATAATAAACTTGTTGGAATAAGTGGGGCAAGGCAGTCATAATTAATTAAGTAATTTATATTCTATTGTGATAATATACACACACAGAGAGAGAAACACACACACTTGAAGGAACTATATTTTTAAAATCAGTTCATGATATTTTACTAATGTTTTCCCTTCTCTTTCTTTTCTCCTTTGTTTCCATGCTTTCCTTGGTACAGCTCACCATTTAGGAATTGAATTCATGGGTAAGTTTCTCTTTTGCTTTTACATCTTGCATATCAGAGTTGTTTCCTGCACTGAGCAAACTATTTTTCCCAGGGGAGCTCAAATGGCTGGGGGGTGGGGGAGGTGGGAAGATACCTGGGAATCTCCCCTAATTATGCTACCAGAACAATGGCTGTGCGATAGGATGCCTTAAGTGAAAAGGACTGACCCCAAACCAGACAACTTAGTTGTCAGCTGTTGACCAGATTGTGTTTCTCAATCCTTTACCTACAAATGTACATCGGCCGTAAGATTGTTTATGTTTTATTTCATTGGTTTTTTGATCCCTGGGGGTGAAGCTAAAATGGTTTAGCGTTGAAAGAGAAGGAGAGTGAGAAAGAAACTCAAGATTTCACCATCATAGTTCTCTTTTGATATAGTGGGGGCAGAGAGACACCTTTGAGATGCTGTTATTATATCTTCTAATGGTAGATTTCCAGTGGGCCTGATGGGATTTGTTTCTTGGCCTGGCCTTTCTGGAAAGGTTGGTCTCAGTCTTGAAACCCTGATCAATTTTCTCTCCCCTTTTCTTATACCTAAGAGAATCAAAGCAGGGCGAATGCCAACCTTTTTCTCAGTCCTTCCTCTCTTTCAGAGCTAAGTTAATGTTTACATACCTGCTCCTGCATCCCTTCTTCAAGATTGTAGGTTGGGCTGGGTTGGACTCAGTTGTGTTGTGTTGAGTTGGGCTAGGTTGGGTTGGACTGGTTTGAGGGACATATTTTAGACAGGTTTGCTGTTGATGCTGCTGAGTGGCCATTTTCCATTTTCTTTATTCATCTTGTAATGTGTTGGTACATTTTTATTTTACTTATATTTTAAATGCCCAGGATTGTTTGGTAGTTATGTGGAACCATGAATGAATGAATGAATGAATGAATGAATGAATGAATGAATGAATGAATGAATGAAAGAAAGAAAGAAATTCTTCAAGGTCACCTCCATAGTTCCTGACAAAGGCAGTTTAAAAAGAATGTGGAAAGCTCAAGTGTTGCATATCAGCCAGAAACATCAACTGTGTTCTCCAGAGGTTTAGTTTGTTTTTTGAAGCAGGGCTACATGGTCAGAGAATTTAGAGCTTCCTTTCATCATTGATTCAGCCACAAAAAATCCAGAAGCAAAAGTTAGAAAACCGTTGAACAAAAGTCTCCTTCTTTTTGCAACAGAAGCCAAAGGACGTAGCCCAGAAACATGATTTCTCTTATTTGAAAGTTGCCCTTCAAAATCTCTAGTATCTTCACCATCTAAAACACCAGATGGTGTTGTAGGCACAAGCTGCTAGTGGTAGTGGTGAGGAACAGACACCTAGACTGCTAATGTTATTTGTAGGACTTAGTGTTACCGGTAACACTCAGAAGAATGCTTTGTTCTTGCATTCTACAGAAGGACATTTTTTAAAAAAAGAAAACAACATATTTTCCTACTTGGAAACTTTGGACACAAAGATGTCAATGCAAGCAACACATTAGCGAGTGATTCACTTTGAGAGTGACTCATTCAAATCACTCGGTCAAAACCAGGCCAGCAAATAATAGATCATTTTCATATTGCATCCAGTTTTAATCATATAAAAATGAAATTGAGACTCTAGAAAGTGTGCAGAGAAGAACAGCCAAGATGATTAGCGGGGTGGAGGCTAAACCACATGATGAACCATTGCAGGAACTGGGCATGTTTAGTCTAATGAAAAGAATGACTAGGGGGGACATTACAGCAGTTTGGAGTCAAGCTATTCTCCAAAGCACCTGAAAGGCAAGACAAGAAGCAATGGGTGGAAACTAATCAAGGAGAGAAGCAACCTAGAACTAAGGAGAAATTTCCTGACAGTTAGAACAATTAGTGGAACAACTTGCCTCCAGAAGTTGTGGGTGCTTCATCGCTGGAGATTTTTTAGAAGAGATCGCACAGTCATTTAACTGAAATGGTATAAGGTCTCCTGTTTAGGCAGGGGGTTGGACTAGAAGACTTCCAAGGTCCTTTCCAAATCTGTTATTCTGTTCTGTGCTTTACTGATGAGTATAGTTTCAGCTGCTTCTCTGGGGTCTTCCATGATGACCTCAGGGTTCACAACACATGTGGAGAAGCCATTGGCTTCAAAGTACCTGGTTCAACACATCAGTTTCAGTGGATTTCCTGTGCACTGAGGTGGCCATTTGCATGAGACTATAAAGCAAAATAGTGTGGGGTTGGATGGGATGGGATAGAATAGAAATTAGAATAGAATAGAATAGAAATTAGAATAGAATAGAATAGAATAGAATAGAATAGAATAGAATAGAATAAGACTCCAAGATCCCTCTCACAGTTATTGTTATTAAGCCTGGTTTCACCCAGTCTATATGTGTCCTTTTGGTTTCTCTTGCCTAAGTGTAAGACTTTACTTTTCTCTACATTGAATTTGATTTTGTTAGATAGGGCCCAAGTCTGTCAAGATCCCTCTGGATCTAGAGCCTCTCATCTGGGTTGTTGGATACTAAGCTGCCAGCTTAGTATCCTCTGCAAATTTGATGAGTTCCCCTTGTATTCCCTCATCTAAGTCATTTATACTCGGTGTCAATATAAGAACAAACTAAGGCACCAAGCAATCAAGTCCTTATTTAGGAATACTGATTAATTCACAAGACAGAGCAGGAATATTTGCTCCAATCAGGAGGTTGATCTGAGACTGTTAACAGAGATACCACAGCAACAGAACAGGAGTCTTCAACACTGCTTGTGCCAGGAAAAAAAAATGGTTGCAATGTGAATTACTGGCATGGGAAAATCTAATCAGTGTGAAAAGAAATAGCAATGAACTTTAAAACAGGTTGTCAGTGCAAGGTTTTGGAAAGAGCGTGTTAAATGAAATGGGTTCTAAAATAGTTTCTCCAACAAAGGAAAAGGAAGTTACACTGAAGGGAGGGAAGGAGGAAGGAGGGAGGGAGGGAGGGATGTGGGAGGGAGGGAGGGAGAGAGGGAGGGAGGGAGATGGGAGAGAGGGGGGAAGGAAGGAGGGAGGGAGGGAGGTGGGAGGGGAGGGAGGTGGGAGGGAGGGAGGAAAGAAGGAAGGAAGGAGGGAGGGAGGGATGAGGAGGGGGAAAGCCATTTGTTTCACACCTGCAACAGGCAGCACTGAATTAAAGAAATTCTTGTCCTGCTTTGGGCAATAGGTTGATCCCTTCTTTTTTGACACAGGCTCTCAAATATTGGAAGACTTTACAATGATTTGGACAATGGATGGTCTGTTGGCTGAGGAAACCATTCTTTCTCATCTTCCTCTCGCTCTCTTCCTCTTATCATTCTTGAATTTTTTTAAAAAAATAATGAATTTAACTTTATCTTGATTCAGTACTACTAATGGCTCCTACCTTCCCTCTACTGCCCAGAGACAGAGAACAAAATTGAAACCATTACTGACTTCCTTTTTATACCAGTAAATTACTTCATTCATTTAATCTGAAATCAAGTCTTTCCTATACCTGCTTCTAACAAAGGGGTCTTAATAAGCTAATGATAGTTGTAAATATAAAATGATCACTTTCATAGAAAGTTTAGTTGAACTCTGCAGTTCCAATGCAAATGTTAGTTGATTCTCCAAATAGATCTTGCAGAAATGCTGAAAATGTGATGGAGCCCACATTTAATCAATCATCTGTGATATAATTTGAAAGCAAGATTGAGTTCTTTTGCCACAAAACCTGTAATTTTGGAGATATATTGCACAGAATAATTTCAGACTGAGAAACAGAGGAGTAGAGAGTGGAGAAGGATTTTACTTAATGCTATGGATATAATAACAGCATATAATAAAGCTGACCAGGTGTCTTTACAAATCCATTTTGTGGGAGAAGCTAAAATAATTACAACAAAAATGTTTTAAGTCACCCAGAGTTACCTTGCGTGAGATGGGTGTCAAACAAATTAGATAGATGATAGATAGATAGATAGATAGATAGATAGATAGATAGATAGATAGAT